GAGGGAAGTTCGAATATCTTCTCGGTTAATTTTGATAACCAAATGCAGTGTTATACTGAGCTCTTGCCTCCCACTGGGGTCACTCATTCGTTGGCACTTCCTTTTATCTCTGAATCAGCGAACAACTTGGTGGTTGCTAGAACCTCCCGTCTCCAGATATTTTCTTTGCTTAATATTGGCCCTCGACCTGGAAGCACCGAAGAACAGGGTGTCCCAAAGCTGATCTTGGAGAGGGAATATGCTCTTCCAGGAACGGTAACAGATCTATGTCGAGTCAAACTCTTGAATACCAAGAGTGGCGGCGAAGCCATTTTGCTTGCCTTCCGAAACGCGAAACTTTCTTTGATCGAATGGGACCCGGGGCGGTATGGCATCTGCACAATCTCCATTCACTATTATGAGCGGGATGATTCGACTAGTAGTCCGTGGGTACCTGATTTGAGCAGCTGTGGCAGCATCCTTAGTGTGGATCCAAGCAGTAGATGTGCGGTTTTCAACTTCGGGATCCGGAATCTCGCCATCCTTCCTTTCCACCAGCCGGGCGATGACCTGGTGATGGATGATTATGGCGAACTTAACGAGGAGAGACTTGGCAGCCATGGATTAGAAAATGGCAACGATTGTGAAATGACCAAAGAAAGCACTGCGCATGGGACGCACACGTCTTCCTTTGTGCTCCCTTTGGCAGCGTTGGATCCATCAATACTGCACCCCATAAGTCTCGCTTTTCTATATGAATACAGGGAGCCGACATTTGGTATTTTGTACTCGCAGGTTGCTACATCTAATGCGCTTCTTCATGAAAGAAAAGATGTTGTTTTCTATACCGTTTTCACACTGGACTTAGAGCAGCGAGCATCAACGACTTTACTTTCCGTGTCTAGATTGCCTAGTGACTTGTTTAAAGTGGTAGCCCTCCCTCCTCCTGTTGGAGGAGCCCTGCTCATTGGGTCTAACGAGCTTGTTCACGTTGACCAGGCAGGGAAAACCAATGCAGTGGGTGTTAATGAGTTCTCTAGGCAGGTTTCGTCTTTTTCAATGACGGATCAATCGGATCTAGCACTTCGCCTTGAAGGCTGCATCGTCGAGCGTCTTTCTGAAACCAATGGAGATTTACTTTTGGTACCCATCACCGGAGACATAGTCCTGGTCAAATTCAAGCTAGACGGCAGGTCGGTGTCGGGTATCTCAGTTCACCCCGTACCTTCCCATGCCGGCGGAGACATCGTGAAATCAGCTGCTTCTTCATCGGCTTTTCTTGGCGATAACATGGTTTTCTTGGGAAGTGAAGACGCTGATTCAATACTTCTGGGCTGGTCAATTCCATACTCAGGCACTAAGAAGCCCCGGTCTCAGGCAAGGCGCATGGAAGAGGACTCTGGAGAATTTTCTGATGAAGAACAGAGTGAAGATGATGTTTATGAAGATGATCTCTATGCTACGGTGCCAGAAGTTGCGGTAGACGGTCGTCGCCCCTCTGCAGAGTCGTCCGGGTCTATCCTGTACAATTTTCGGGAATACGACAGACTTTTGAATATTGGACCTCTGAAAGATATTGCTTTCGGAAAGTCTTTCACAAGCCTTGGCGGGGAAGAAAATGCCGGCAATGACTCCGACCTGGAATTGGTAGCTTCCCAAGGGTGGGATAGAAGTGGTGGCCTGGCTGTTATGAAGCGCGGACTTGAGCTTCAAGTGCTCAACTCTATGAGAATAGACTCGGCCAGTTGTGTCTGGGCAGCATCTGTAGCTCATATGGAAGAAGCCGTATCCAAGACCACCACGCAGGTTGGAAAACGTGAATGTCATCAATATGTTGTTGTGTCAAAAGCAACGAGTGCCGACAGGGAACAATCTGAAGTTTTCCGGGTGGAAGGACAGGAACTGAGGCCATTCCGAGCCCCCGAATTCAACCCAAATGAGGATGTAACCGTTGATATTGGGACGTTAACAAGCAAAAACAGAGTTGTTCAGATATTGAGAAGTGAAGTTCGAAGCTATGATGGCGGTGAGTTTACTCTCCTGATGGTGCCTATGACGAAGGTAATCTAATGGAATAGACCTGGGCTTGGCTCAGATCTATCCTGTATGGGACGAAGATACTAGCGAAGAACGTATGGCCATTAGTTCTAGCCTTGTGGATCCGTACGTAGCGATACTTCGCGATGACTCAACGTTATTGCTTCTCCATGCAGATGATAGCGGAGATCTCGATGAAGTCGAATTGAATGAGCAGTTGGCTACTTCAAAATGGACCTCGTGCTGCTTGTACTTCGACAAAACTGGGATTTTCTCCTCTCTCAGTGCAACCTCAGAAAAGTTGACTCCAAAAAGCATGACCCTTTTCCTAATGACCCAGGATTGTCGGTTATTTGTGAGTTACGCAATGGCTTCGAGCAAATGAAGTTGTACTATTTGGCTTCTAGTGTAAAGCTTGGGCACGTCTAATACTTACAACACCTTTAGATATATCGACTTCCTGATCAGAAACTATTAACGACAATCGAAGGTGTTGATTGTTTGCCGCCAGTCTTGTCAAGTGAACCTCCGAAGCGGTCAACTACGCGCGAGGCCTTGGCCGAAGTTGTTGTTACTGACCTTGGAGACACCTGGAGCAGCTTTCCTTACTTGATTGTATGAACTTGACGTATCCCTTGCTGAGGCCTCTTCTCTGGGTTTCGTGGTTAACGGAATCGATATAGATACGCAGCAGACATGATGACCTTGCCGTATACAGACCGTTTATACCCACTACAAAGTCTGTAAGGGAACCCCACGCTGACTTAAATTTCCTAAAAGAGACAAATTCGGTTTTGCCAAGGATAGCCTCCGGTGTGGAAGACCAGTCAACAAGTGAGGAGGTAATAAAAAGCGTACCACTGCGCATAGTATCCAATGTTTCAGGATTCAGCGCAATATTCAGGCCAGGTATTTCACCAGGGTTTATAGTCAGAACTTCGACAAGCTCTCCACATTTTCTGTGCCTTAAAGGAGGATATGCGCAGAGTCTTAGCAAGTTTGAAACTTCCGAATGTGGTGAAGGCTTTATTCTCCTGGATTCAAAGGTGCTTTGCTTCATACTTCTCTGTTTAACATACTTTATACTGAGTTTCCATACAGGGCGTCGTTCATGTGTGTCGAGTGCCTCTTGATGTTCAGCTGGACTATTCGTGGACAATACAGCAGATACCCATTGGAGAGCAAGTTGATCGCCTAGCATACTCTTCATCATCTGGAATGTACGTCCTGGGAACTTCTCATAGGACAGAATTCAAGTTACCTGAAGATGATGAGTTACATCCTGAGTGGCGTAATGAAAGTATGTCTAACACCTGTTGACATCTGTCCAGTATGCTGACAATATAACAGTGACCTCTTTCTTCCCTGAAGTGCAGCGAAGCTCTTTAAAAGTCGTGAGCCCGAAAACGTGGACCGTCGTTGATAGGTATGAAGCTATTGCGAAAAGTGCAATAAGAGTTACGATTGCTAACATCATGTTTTCCTTTGCCCGGAAGTTATCTATTGAGCCCTGCCGAGCATGTGATGGCGGTAAAAAACATGAGTCTTGAGATCTCTGAGAACACACATGAGCGTAAGGATATGATCGTTGTGGGGACAGCATTTGCAAGAGGTGAAGACATTGCATCGCGTGGCTGTGTGTACGTCTTTGAGGTTATTAAGGTCGTCCCTGATCCCGAGAGGCCAGAGACGGACCGTAAATTGAGACTCGTAGGCAAAGAGCCGGTAAAAGGGGCAGTAACCGCCTTGTCCGAGATCGGTGGCCAGGGCTTTCTGATAGTCGCACAGGGACAGAAATGCATTGTCAGAGGCCTCAAAGAAGATGGTAGCCTTCTGCCTGTTGCTTTCATGGACGTACAGTGCCATGTTAGCGTGGTGAAAGAGCTTAAGGGCACAGGAATGTGCATCATCGCTGATGCTGTGAAAGGGCTCTGGTTTGCGGGCTACTCGGTAAGTTCTTGGTTCTCAAAGGACGTGAGTCAAGGCAATAGATCTGACAATATTGCGCTTCCAGGAAGAGCCTTATAAAATGAGCCTTTTCGCAAAGGATTTGGATTATCTCGAGGTCCTGGCAGCAGATTTCCTTCCTGATGGCAACAAGTTGTTCATTCTCGTTGCTGACAGTGACTGCAACCTTTATGTGCTCCAATATGACCCTGAAGGTGTGTCAAATTGTCTTTTCTCGAAATAGTTCAACAAGCAGTCCACTGATAAAGGAATAGATCCAAAATCGTCCAACGGCGACAGACTACTGAGTCGCAGCAAATTTCATACAGGCAACTTCATCTCGACGTTGACGCTCTTGCCACGTACTTCAGTCTCCTCTGAACAAATGATCTCCGATGTTGATGCAATGGACGTTGACATCAAAATACCACGCCACCAGATGCTCATTACGTCCCAAAACGGATCCGTTGGTCTCGTCACATGTGTTTCCGAAGAGTCCTACCGTCGATTGTCCGCTTTGCAGTCTCAGCTGACTAATACCATTGAGCATCCTTGTGGTCTTAACCCTCGAGCCTTTCGGGCAGTGGAAAGCGACGGCACTGCAGGTAGGGGAATGCTCGATGGAAAGCTTCTCTTCCAATGGCTAGACATGAGCAAGCAACGCAAGGTGGAAATAGCCAGTCGTGTTGGAGCGAATGAATGGGAGATCAAAGCAGATTTTGAGACTATTAGCGGTGAAGGGCTTGGATACCTGTAATGGTAGGCAGCCTGTGTCCATAAGGGCTCCAGAACATATACCATTAGAACATCGATATGGAAGACAGCAAGTCTTTGGGCAAGAACTATGATATATTCGTAATCGCTGTATGCTTATATCTTTTCGAGATGTTCGAGAGTTGGCTAGTCGCAAGATGAGGCTTAAAGAAATGAATGCTATGATGTACTTTTCCCAGTTATGATTTTGAAGGCTAAATACGCGACTTCAAGATCAAGTAGTACCCTATTGTCTTCACATTTCAATGCTACGTAAAACTTGATGTCGCTCCACGATTATTGTCGACCAGAGATACCAATCAACCAGCAGTCAGGATAACACAAGGCATCCATATGAACGTGGGAAATTGAACTCTGGCTGAGCGGATGGTAACGGAATCTATTGGTATACACGTGCAAACATAAAAGTGCAAAAAAAATTAGAATAAATAAAAATAAATTAAATGAAAAACAAAAGAAAAAAAGTAAAAAAGAGAGTTTCAGACGGCCAGCCGATTGTCAAGTTTTCCCTTGTGGTTCTTTAGCCCAAGGTACCCTGATCCTTCCACATAACATCATGACGCCAGTATATATGTATTACACTAAAGAAAAGATAAAGAATAAAGAATAGAACAAAAAGTTATTGGGAGCCAGACATCAGTAAAGATGAAGAGAAGAGGCCCGGATATCTTAGACTCCGTCACGCCACAACAAACCCCATAACTCGTGGTCATTACATATCTGTACATCTCGAAGAAACCCAAGAAAAGAAAACGGCGGTAGCCTTTAACAGAGATTCCGTCCAAGTGGAGTGTTGAAAACCAAAATCTTGAAGCCGGCTAAGGTCGAGCGCCTTCAAATTTGGCAGGTTTCCAGTATTCGGCAGCTCTAAAAAGAAGTTGGGCTCATCACCTAGCTACAAGATCATGCACAACCAAACCACAATGCTAGAAAACATCTTCTGCAGCGAAGTATCGCTTACTTCTACCTCGTGTAGCAACGAACTTCATCTCAGGCATATTGGTATGGTGTACCACATGTGGTCGATAAACTGCATCCACGGGTGCTTGCCAGTCATCCAAGCCCAATGGGAAATATTCGTATAATAAATCGGCACTCTCGTTGGGAAAAGGCAGAGTCGACGCGAAAGGTTGCTGCATATTAGTAGTGTTCAGCAAGGGCAATGATGATGACGTGCTCCTGGCCGGTGGTTGTGAAATTCCATGCGAAAGTTTTCGCATTTTTGCCGGCGGTGCCGAGCCCTCCGTATTTATAACCTTCTGCGGAATCTCACTGGCGTACGAGGAAGTCGGTCGGGTAGAGTCATTCAAACGAGAAGAATCGCCACCACCGTCATCATCAAGCAGTGACAAATTTATCGGGGCTGCTATAGCACTAGCACGTCGTTGCTGAGTTTCTGCTGTCCGCGAGTATTCTGGACTGGATTGTGAATAGATAGATGAGCGAGGTAGAGCTGTAGATGGAAGCGCACCTCCTGTAGATTGGGGGATCTGTGTCCAGTCAGGGGAAGCCCGTTGGGCAGTAGCGCCGGCCTGCGAAGCCGAGGCCTCCGGTGAACTGCTCTTCCCTGTAGTCTTAGCCTTGGATGAAGGCTGACCAGAGCGTGGAGCAGTTTCACTGGTTGGCGTACGGTTGATACTGGCCGAGTGGGAAGCTTGCGCGTTCTTTCTTGACGCCGCAGCACTACCGCTCAAGGGCAAGTCCTTGCGAGATTGAAAGTTGCGTGGACTGCGGCCCCGAACAATTACGGGTCCCGAGTGCACCTCGCAGATGGGGATTTTCGTGCCCGTAGACAAAGTTGCGACGACCTTTAGCCGAACAACGAAGTGTTGTTGGAGCTCCTTTCTGCGCCCATTGTTGGCAGTTGCCACACGAAACTGGAGTCGCTTCCATGCTATCGGGAAGGTGGCATAGTCTGTATCTAGGTCCTGACCGGCCATGATATCTAAGGGAATCGCGGGAGGTTCTTTTTCAACCTTGGGGTTATTTGGATTGTGCGTCGTGGTAGGGTGGCTGCTGTCTTCGGTTGAAGGATTCGCATTCGCAGCGGGGGTTTTCCAGGGTACAGAGATGATTTTGACAGAATTGCCTTCCACAGACTCGGTTGCTGAAACAGTGAGTTCCTGTGCAAGAATCGGTATACGGTCGCCTTGCTCTGTCATAATATAGCGCAAGCTCCGCGGGAGGGTAACGGAGCCCGTGATCTGAAACAGGTTACGACGGTAACACGTTAGCTCCGCACCTTGCTGGGGCGGAGCATTCTCTGCGGGGGATGTGGTCCAAGGCGACTCCGCAAGGAAAAACATGCCATGCAACTGGGCTGAGAGTGACAATGAAGTCCGCCGTAGCGAGTAATCAAGCAGGGTAAAATTATATACTGGTATCGAAAAGCTCAGTAGTTTATTGTTATGGTCGATGGACGAGTCAGAGTGTTGTTGTTCTGCAGGCGTGGGATCAAAAGGCGCCACCATGTCAGTGAAAGGGTCATCATATCCCGAAGGAAATCGTTTTAGCGGTGCAGATAGACCTGTCTGGGGGAAGGCTATATCATCTCCACTGATTCGAAGGTAATGTTAGGGCTCTGCCCACAGCAGTGATCATCCGTAAGACGACGAGCTCACCTGACAAATGTCTCCGAGTCAAAGTTGGAGCGCTGATCAGGAAGATCCATACCAGGCATAGAGTTGAGGTAGTCGGCGCCCTGGATATTGCTGAGCGATAGTGGGCTGGCCAAGTAGGGCATAGCCATAGTATCGAAGCCCTCCATGACAAGGGTAAAACTCAATTAGGACTTGCAAGGTCAGCAAGGCGAGAGAAAAAATCGATTGTCTCCCTCAGAGATAACAGGGAAGCGAATCAAAAAAGTAAAAGGAACGTAGAGGGAGACAGGTAGTTGGAACAATCAAGTCCGGGGGAGGAAGAGCGTAATCGCGATAACTGCGGAGAACGCGTTAGGAGCTAAGGAGGTCTCATAAAGGGTACAAAGTCCATGAGATGAAGTACACGATAGTAAGAATACAAATAAGTAGTAGTGATAGTAGTAGTAATAAGTAACAAAGAATGAGAGGAAACAAAAAGGTAATTGAGAGGAGGGGTAGAATAGATCGAGGGAAAGCAATCACTTGTAGTAAGTAGTGATAGGTGCTATGAAGGAGTCGTGAGTGGATCAGATTGCCCCGAGGTCAGTACGGAGTAGTCGGTGGAGCTCGCCGTGATGTCTCTTTCTCAGATAAAAAATAAAAAATAAAAATAAAAATAAAAAAAAGGAAAAGGAAAAGGGAGAAAAGAAAAAA